GGCCAGGGTGCGGCATATACTGGAGGAAACTGACAAAAGTGATCTAATTTTCATGTTAGTAGACTCCATGCCAAAAAGACTGACTTAAGTGCTCCAAAATAAAGGAGGACACACAGATTATTAAAAATATGAAACTCCNTTTTCACGAATAAACTTTTATCATTTCCCCCCACAAACGTTCAGTTATCTTACAGTCGATGCGTCAGCAACCATAGTCGAAATGGAGAAATTGTACTTTTCTAACGCGCTCGGCCAAAAGAAGCAACCATATAATTTATTAGTACTATAAAAATTTTGCGAATGACCTAGGGTAATACCATGCACATGCCTGTGCATGAGGATCAAAACGTTTGGCAATGAGATAAATAGATTTGGGAAAAGTCATGATGTTGCACGAGTTTGGTTAATACCTGTATATATATATATATATATACGAAGCGCGTAAATACCCCTACTTATGATCTTCCAGTGATAATCCTTTCGTTGATGTCATCATCGTACAGCGAAATACCGGAAAGCGAACTGCACTCGTTGATGTGGATAAAATTCTATCCATCTCGAGCTTGTAAGACGCTCCACTAAATCACTTGTGAGTTTAGTTGTTTTAAACTCACAATAGTTTTACGACAGGGCCGAAGCAGAAGTGTACCAATTGATCAGTAACTTAATACTTCCCGTTAGTCATAAGATCTAGTCTTCTTAAGTTGCTTATGTAGAAGAATCTTATACATACACACTGCTTTCATTTTTTGGTTTCGGGCAATGCTTATTCCCGGGGTGCCACAATGCCCCCGTCAGTTGTTATTCTCTTTACATGTAGCTGTCAGTCTTCGTTTTTGCTCGTCCATATTGACCCCGAGATGCGAGTCGGTTTCTCTCGGTTCGTTTTGCCGCAAAAGTCAATTGTTGTTGCCTTTCGATGATCGGGCGTGTTCGCATGCTTCACGTTGTCACAATCGGAATCGGTCACATCCATATTAGGCAGACATGGCCCCCAGCATGTGGTTGGCGCAACTATTACTGTTCTTGTATGAGGAATAACCCTTGGTTTCTTATCCTGAGTTCTCCCGTTCGGGAAATTTATCTTAAGTGATAGACAACTTTTCTTCTACGAAGGGGAATAGCAAATAGTCAGCTGTTTATAGATGGCAGTATAAGAGAGCACAACAATGATCGTCCTGGTGCGCGTAGGATAATTTCACTGTCATCTCTGGTTGAAAAAATCTCCGTTCAGTTCACGAGTTGTTGCACAAGCGGTACTGGGCAATCACGGGTTCGTTCGAATGTATACATTGAACACCGTCGTTCTAGGCTCTCATTACGGACATATCATCTATCACAAGATGCGTGGATCTATGTGAAACAACCAAAATTACTTTGCGAGCTCTGTCGTTGAGCTTTGCGGCTTATACATGTTTTAATAATCATTTCAGCTTAAGCTACACGATTTTTGGTCATTCTGACTGTTTTTGGTTCGTTGTTGTGATGGAAAACTTGTTGAATCCTTTTCTGTATTTGTTTCAGAAATAGTTCTATTATGAAACTAAAATGATTTAAGTCGTGTTTGTTTATAAAGGCGGTTTGTACTATCTTTCATTTTCCCTAACACCAATTTGTATTCTATCCTTCATAATCGGATTGCTCTAACTACAATCTCTTAACCTTTTTCCAGTTGGTCACTCAACCATCACCAAATCATTGGGTAGCCGAGGACAAAACACGTTCTGGTTCCGATTCCTATTTTGCCGACGGAAGCAAACAAACCGGTCGGAGTAAAAGGTACACACATCCATCCGGTGCTCCGCAAGCACACCCAAACAGTCCGTTGTAAGCAATGCTCCGAGTCGAGGAACTACTGTTGTAGTTTTACTAACCTTTACAAATACAGATGAATTGATGCGATGGTCACATCGCACCGTGGATTTAATCGCCACGTTTACTTACTTACTTACTTACTTACTTTACTTACTTACTTGCTTACTTATCAGAAGACAGAAACCAGAACCGGCGCAGGAAAGTGCAAGGATAATGGTTCTAAAAACTCAAACTGAAGCTTACTTGCAAACAAAATAAAGGTTACCCAATTTACGCACGGTTGTCCAAGGTATGGTGGGTTTGTGGGAGAAGGGTATGTTCATTATGTCAACCGATAGGCAACAAAATAAAGAGACAAGATAGTTTTGTGAATGCTGAGACTAAATCATTCTGCCATGTTTTCACTTTGTCTACCTTTGTGCTCTGGTTTTGGTTGTTTTCTTTTAATGTTACATTCGGTTGACAAGTGAATGATATATGTTGCATTTCTACTTCCTTTTATGGACTACATAAAAATGTGTTTTTCAAGCCGGGGGAAGCTGCCAATCAAAGGTCTTCCATACAACCTACATATATATTGAAGAATGATCCAGAGTGCACTGTTAAAACGAAAATACAAAATATGGTACATGACTTTGGCCATAATCCTACAGTAGTCTTTTGATGACCTGTAGCTTGGACTTAAACGTGTTTGTTGCGTCTCTTTTTAGCCACAATTTTTGAACGGACTTGTAGTTGCTGGAATTCGATTTTCACATCCTTCTGTACGCGTGCATTATTTGCGAGATGCAACTCATCTGTTCGAGAAACCTGTCACTTTTAATTAGTGCTATCGATTTGTTTCTATTCTCCCTCATTACCTTAACCCGGGGTATAATTAGTCGATTCACCTAACCATCATCACACTTTTCCTTGCTTCACTTTCAGGTCCCAATCATCGACAATGCCCCCTGATGGTGTGTCTATTGAACCCCTCCCTTCGATCCCCACATCACGTGACCACCAGTCGATATCCGAGGGAGATGTCCAAAGTCGAACATTAGCGAATGATTTAACCACAAAAACAACTGACACTCTAACGCAGGTCAATGATGCGGGGCATCGGGACCTGAAAGCGCGTTTGGATCATGTGAGTGATTCCTATCGTAATTTCGTTTCTTCACGAGACTCCTTATTCAAATTATAATAGCAATACATGCCGCAGTTGACAGTCTGTACTAATCCATAACTGTCTGTTTTGAAAATGAATATTTTATTTAGATTCATTTCTTTATTTTTAGAAAGGAAATCGATTGTGTTTGGGTTGTCTCAGTAGATTGCCACCGGAAGAATTAGCTATCAAAGGCATGGTTCAGCGAGCTGGATTGCTTTCAGCATCCGTGTAAAAAAGTAGATGACTGGATGTAGTAAGCAAAAAGCAGAATCCTAAAATAAATTTAGCTCGTCATGAAGTTCTACTTAGTTTATACGGAATGTCATACCTTTCATCGGTTGGTATGGATAATTTTCTACAGTTAGTTTCCATCTAACCTAAACAGTCCAGTCAGCAAGTTTGCCTACCACGCACCCGGATTGATAGTGTGATGCTTCCAAAACCTAGATTTGTGCCTGTATGGGTGTATGTTTGTGTTAGAAAGAGACTTTGGGTACAGCTGTGCTTCTTTGGCACTTCTTATTTTTGGACAAGTGCTAATCAATTCGGCACCTGTTTACTCATGGAATATATCAGACCAAACATTTCTGAAAATTCGTTACAAACGTTCCATCACTTGCGGAGATCGGGAAACAGAGAGACGTGATGTGGCATCCGATACGTGCTAGTTGGATCGATCTGTCCATGTTTGTAATTCGTTTGCTTGTTAAAATTTTCATTTTCTATTACATTTACCAAACTGTGCTTTACATTCTGTGCATGATGAACGAATCGGATGGTGTATTCTAAGAGCTATTACCCTGTTTATCGTGCGACAGCTTTCTGGTGTTACTCAGCTTCCTGTCGTTCATTTGTTCCATCATCTGGTACTCAAAGATCTCAAGTTGGTACCATGTTTCAGTGATCAGTTCTTCAATACCCAGCTTAAACGGGTGCATATTACTTCACATTGGAAATTAGACAACTGAGTGCGCAATCTCCTCGTAGCATTACGCTATCCTTCTGATCCAATTTAATTTTATTACGGTTTCTGTTGGTACCAGGAAATCGCACTTAGGAAACAACAAGACGATTATATTCGACAATTACAAAAGTACTACGACAATTTGCTGACCAAACATGCCCTAGCCGAGGTGACCATCGATCAATTGCGAATGGGTTCTAAAGTCCGATCGGAATCGGAAGATCGTACCAATTCGCGTGCCAATACTCATCGGGCGTCCGATCTGGGGCTGATAGATCGATCTGCTCGGTATCAGTCGCAACCGTTATCCGCACTTCCAAACTTGAGACGAGGATCACAACTGTTCGGGGCAAGCAACGAGCAGTTAGTGGCTTCCGGACCACAGTTACGTTATGCTTCCACACCAATGCTCGTTTCGACAGCACAGCAACAGCAGCCACCACCACGACAGGGACGGTTGACCGAATCTCGGGATTGGTCAACCACGCAAACATCCTTTCCGCAGTTGACCGAGGATCCTGGTGGCAATAGTCGTGCTGGCGGATCGGGTGTACGCCAGATTGATTGGACCTACGGGAACGAAAGGTATGCCAGCTCAGAGCGTTTGTGTCAGACGGTCCCTGAGGAAGGCGAGCCCAAGTTAGTGTCGTTTCTCTATTGTATGCTCTGCTTCTTCAGTTATTTAATGTCTCTTGAATTTCTACCTGGTCACTGCCAATATCGATATTTGACGGTGTGGGCGATTTGTTTTAGGTACCAAATTGACTTTTTCACCATGTTGCTCACCATTCTTTCCACGGCCACTATTGTTCCTTCGCAATGGTGATCCTACAGTAGATCTTAATCGGTAAATAAGTTAGCGGTATTCTGTCTGCTTGCTAGTCCTTCCTTGATTACATGTGTCAAATTCTTTTGTTCATTCCGCATCCGTAGCTATTTCGATCTCAACAAGGTGGACACACCGCCGTCCTCGGCTGATGCTCGCATGCAGCGTCGATTGTCCAATTCGACCGTGGTATGCAAACCCGTCAAATCTCACGTGACAAACGAATCGGTATCAACTGAAACGGCTGATCAACGACCACATGATGCAGCGTTTTCACTTCGAGGTACGATCAGTCACTTACATATCTGCCTACCTAATGCAGAATCACAAATAAGTGCGAATCGGTCTTATTGTTGCGGTTCGTGCACGTTTCATCTCCGAGTGTATGCTGCGTAGCTCAGTCCGAATTTTTCCTCATCGTGCGCAGTTCGGGTTGCCCATGTGAAATTCGTTTCATTCAAGAACATTGGTTTGCTGTTTGCAATATTTTCGTAAACACTGATATTACATTCGTTGTCAAGGGTCAGATTTTGAAAATAGCTAAAACAAAATATAGATTGATAGTATTTTGTTCCATATGTTATGAACAGTATTGATATTAGTGTGTTAGGGCTGTTTCACTCCACTGATCGTTTTTTCTCATCGTTTAGTAAATCCTGTTTATCCAAATATAACATTCTCAAACCTCATCATCCGTGGAGAACTTTCTTGTTTTATCATTTTCGAAGGCTTCGTTTTTTTCACAAATCCGGGTCGACAAACTTTCAGAAATTTCCTCGAATCCCCGGAAACTGTTTTTTACAACGGCTTCATTTGCTGCGGTATCTGTATTCCACCATTCCCACACCGACGTCTTAATTTTCTCTTAGCTTTGCTTCACATGTTTGGTGTGTTAACTGCTGGCTGACTGATATCTCCTGGTACCTGTTTCTCGAACTGTGCATTGTTGTGGAAGACAGTGGACGTCATTAAATATCGTGAAAGCAGAATTTTGCATATTGAAACACATTCTCTTAACTGGTTTTACACGAGATTTTATTTTATTCATATGCAGTGTGCCGGTTGAAAGGCCATTGTCTTGCATGCTTATCAAATCTTTATAAACTGGTCCTCGTGTTTATCACAGAGGCTAGATTTTCGGACTGTTTCATTAACCAAATGGTGAGAACTGCCATTCAAACTGTAAGCAACAAACCTTAAGGGCCACTCTTTGGCAGTTCTCTTTGTGTCGACGAAAATAAAAAAAATCACTATACTATGCTGATCTTGTTTATCTTGTTATTTCTCTGTTTCCCATAGACCGACATATGCACAGCATGAATCGGAAAGAACCTGAAGACCGGCAGCACTCTGTTCATCCCAAACAACCAACAACCGTTTCGAACAATGAAGTGGGACTTGGTCCGGACGAGGTGCATCTAGATCTAATGACCAGTGTTATGGAATTGAAGGCGAAACTAGACCACATTCGGCTCCGAATTGCAGATCATGATGATGCACTGACAGAGTCAGATATCCGCCCACTTCGAGCTCAATATATTCAATTGAAGAAGTGCTACCACTTGGCCCGGCGTCGTTGGTGTGAAGATTCCAAACGTGCCGGAAGTGAGAAATTGTTTTTTTCCATTGTGTCTTGCGTGCTGAGTCACTATTCAGTAGAGAGATTTGTTCGCAATATCCCAATATCCGTTCTGCTCGATACGCACTTGAAAATGTTACTTCACCAATGTGAAATCGTTTGGATATGAATACTAATTTGCAAAATTTCCTGTTAATTTAAAAAGTCATTTGTTGAGCAAAAAAGATTTAAAGCATTGCACAGGTCTTTGGGTAATGATGATCATCGTAACTCAAAAGCCTGTTCCTTTCATTGCTTTGCTTCAAGTCGAATGTTAATCACTGCTCGAGCGTGGTGAATATAGTATATCCAGCGTTTATCTGCAACCAATGGAAGCAAACAGATCTACCTTTAATCATAAACCTCGTTTCCATTCTGCTCAGAGCCACTTATCCCATTAACCAACCTGAGTCGCACACTGGGTTTCCGGTTTCTGTGATCGAACACTTGGGGGTTGAGACGAATTCGTTCCCTCTATAGTTTGGTGCACTGAGTTGTAATAAATATCGAATGGTGTTGTGTAGAGACTAGTTGTACGAACTTGTGATATATTGCCTCATAAAGACTCATAGAAACAAAAAAAGAGCGTCTTAGATTCCACAGTGCTTCCTGATGTTCTATTTTCCATCGCTACTCTGCAATGAATGGAAACTATCACAGTAGCCTCACTTGAACTCGTTAGCAGTTCTCCATTTATTTTATATTCATTGTTTTCTTAGGTTGTTGCGTTTTCTTTTTCACCCGTTCTATGCGATCGAATTTAGGCTCTACATATGTTTGAGACCTGACATAACATGGTAATTTGATTATTTTATTTTCGGGAAAAATAGCTTTTGAGTTCGATTCCAGTCAAACTTTGGACAAGGAACTGTTCCAGCTCCGTTTGCAGTTGGACGATATAGAAGCTTGTTTGCAATTGACCGGATCGCCGATGAACGAACCAAATAATTTTTCCGGCAAACCCCAATTAAACGACAGTTACGTGCGTAACTTTCCAGTAAACTCTGGTCACACGATCGGATCGAACTCCAAATATCCAACAGTTGTGGATAGCGGCGTTCTGTCCTCACCAAGTCGTTCGGACCGGGAACACGATTTGTCCAGTGTATCCAGTTCACCTCTTGTGAAAGGCAAGTACTACTGTTCTTTACGTGCTGTTGAGTTAACCGCAATGAATTGGTTTCTCATACAATGTTCCAGTTACATTCTGTTTGCCTCGTGGTGTGTGCGTGCGCTCACGTGTGTGTGTGTGTGTGTGTGTGTGTGTGCGTATTCGCATGTGTACAGGTGCAATGCGGCCACATTCTGTCCGATAGTAGACCCGCTGTTGAACTGTTTTTGGTGTGACTGTGTCTCCTTTCATGTAGCGTTTTCATACAGTCCGTATGTTTCTAGTATCTGTATGACATTTTCCTTTTCACACAGACAACCTACGGGCCCTGGAGGATTTGTATGTGGATCTTATGGATCGATATAATAAATTGAAGGAATGTGATGCGTCCCATGAACAGGCTACTCGGCTATATGATATCATGAAGGTTCGTGTTTGTGGATTCGTTCACTATTTTTACACATTTAGCGTCTGTATGACCTTGCAATCACGGTGAACGGTCATTCCAGCGTGATTCCAACCCCGGAAGAGTTGGAATCGGTCTTTCAGCTGGATGGAGATACACGAAAACTGAGCGAGGACTTGGAGAAAATGATCCGCACAGAACGTGAACTGTCTGCATATTCCAGCTGTGAGTTTTTTCCAGCACCGAATAAGAATTCGTGTGTTTACCGAGTTTTTTTAACCATTCACTGTGATTTCACCCCACAAAGCCTGTTATGATGCGATCCTAGCTCGTTGGGTCATGTTGTATGTATTGTGATGAACCACGGAACCATATGGTCACGCGGACTTCTGTACAGTAAACGGAGGTGGAAGAGAAAGCCACTCATGTTGAACGTGACAAATCAGCCGGTCAGGCATTCGGAAAAGAAACGGGCGTAAGCGGAGGTAAAACAAAGTATGAGTAAATTTGTATGATACTTTTTGCACACCAGCTCGTTCGACAGATTTTTGACGACGCGTTGTAGTGTTGACTCACTGTGTCTGGTATTTGTATGGAGTTGAAGCACACATTTTGACGAGCGATAACCATATTGATGGTATCGATAGAAAATGGGCAGAGGGAGCAACTACTTGGTGATGAGTGGGCAGTTGAAAGGACAAGATTTCAGTAATAGATAGACGAATTATAATGTGTTTGTCCTTTCATACAGTGGTAACTCCTGAGTCGAGGGAACGGTTTGAATTGACGGCAGTTCCATGTCTCCGTAACGTGCAGCAGCATAAGATCTACAACCTTGGCCCTGGGACTAAAAGGACCCCTATTTGGAAAATGCGGCGACAAGGTGAACGGAACTAAGACTGTTCCTCTCTTTCAAGCCAAGGAGATTTGTTTGCGAACACACTCACGTTCTCGCTATGTAGGCGCGTCGTTTTAGATTTGGTATGATTCTTGTCCAGAAAGGTTGGCAAGAAGCTATTAATCCATAGATATGGTGTGACTCCTTAGTTTCATCCTTTTATTCTTTTCGCCTCCTAGACTCTAACGTGTCTGGTCGGGACCCGTACTTGGATCCTGCTCAACCTCCAGTCTCCAATTCTGGGCATACACTTAACAATAACAAGTCCCATCACGATCCAGTTCCATCCACATCTGGTCTTACCCAAAATACTATGACATTTTCTAATCGTGGATTTGGTACACACCAGGTATGCAAGTGTGATCGTTATTGCTAACAGCCTCTTTGTTCCGTACTTTACTTAGCATGCAATTTACAAGAAATTGGATCCCATTCATAAATACTGGTTATATTGCCTGTATTTCTCACTGCGGTTGCACAATCTGATTATATGGTTTGCCGTTTATCAATTGAAACGCTATTGTTTTTACCGGTGATGGAGATTACAAAGTCACACCAAATTCTAGACGTTGCAGAAGNNNNATATTTTCATTCCCGCTTTAAGTCAGATCGATAAGCTGATTCTGACCGCCCTTGACTTCCACCGAGCCAATTTTAGTCGTCTTCAATTTGTGCAAATAATTCTCTGTCTACATGGATGGATTTCCCCTTTCAAATTATCAGCCTGTTGTAATGTTGCTGCATGTTGTACCGCTAAAAATTAGCATCCCGGTGTACTTTGTTACTTTTCGTTTTATGCAACTTCTGTTCTAAGGAATTAGTCACCCCCGTGGTCCACAGCGACCCAAAGAGGTCCTCGGTAGTAGGATTTTAGATGGTATTCCGTTCATCTATTTCATTTGAAGTTTCCGCCTCTCGTCTTTGCCTATCCACTTAAAATCTGCTCGGTCTCAAAGTTGGTTTAGACTTACTGACCGTCAGCGATGTAATCCATAACCTACTCTGGGAATCCTTGTCAAGCTACTGGAACGGAACGGTGGAGAATGGCCTAATTAAACAGGTTCACATTTGTCGCATCACGGTACCGTCGACAGATTTGTGCCGTTTCATTTGGAATAATGGTTGCCAAGTGGAAACCCATCACTTCCTCGGGGGTACTGCCGAAGCTAAATCTTAACCGCTTGTTCAGCGAGCCTGAGTCCGCTCTCTCAACACCTGGCCACCCATTCAGTAACATTACTTGAGGACGCACTGAGTAACGTGCAACTCTTTATTTAGTTCTGATGCACGCATGCATCCGAATTTGAGGCACCGCTGGAAATCATCACTGGGTCAGAGTTTGACTGAACATGATTGAGCTATGTACATATTAGTAGGAATTTCACACACTTAATTTGTCCAACTTATTTCGATCACTGAAATGAACCTGTTTCTGTTGTTCCTTTTGTCTTCGAAAATGAACAATTTCATACCAGCACGGTCTTTGAATTGCGTACTGTTAGTCGGCTTCCTGTACCGTGTGTCGCATGCATGAAGGTGTCTTTCCTGGGACACAATTCTGATTACTAGCCACCCCTTATGTCAGTAATACCTTTGGTTTAACGAGTACGCCCTGGTTTGCGCTTTTGTTCAAGATCCTGATAATACGTTCTCATCGTTTGACCAACAGTTTTAGGCTCTCGACAGACGGTAGATACCTCATCGCCTCTGGTGAGTGATTCGGTGGTACGAAGCTACTATTGACCTTACAACATTATTTTTTTGTGATTCGGACAACGTTTAGCTTCGACCAGAAGTGGGTTGATACTCGGGTTGGCTGCAGTACTCCTGTAAGCATTAACCTCACTCCTAAAAGAGGATTAGTCGGTTTCATGGATCAATCCATAAGTACACAATAGGCGTTACGTAATCTCGGGTATATACTTATCATGTATGAACTATTTTTTTCTGCCACGAAGTGTAAGATGTGATGATCAATATGGTGTAGGTAATTCTCAAAATCAAGACATCATTATTCAGGAGGATATATCAAAATGCTGGTATGTTACCATGTTCATAGGTGAATGAACGAGAAATACGTTACACTTCACTGACTGTTTTCTATGTTGTCCTGTCCGTCCATTCTGCGGGTCGCTGTGCTTTGTTTCTGTCTGTCTGTTGTGGTGTTTGTGATAGGTCACACGTCGCATTCGTTGCCTGACCTATTCTCGCGGTTCATTGCGCCGAGGAGAGATCACTGGATTAACTGTGGGCTTGTTGACAGTTTCTTTACACGCCAGCAGTCGCACTGTGTGTGTGTGTGTGTGTGTGTGTGTGTGTGTGTATGTATGTATGTAAGTATATGCACGGCAGTAGTTTTGC